CTGGTCCAAATTAAGCGGTTTTTGTTGAATAACTTTGCACATTTAACTTATAATTAGACCAAATTTGACACCTAAATTATAGGTCGCAAATATCTATCAGTGTGCCAAATTTGAAATAAATTTATGAAAGTTAAGTAGTTTTCCTACCAAATAATGTTTTCGTACTTTCGGTGCGAAGAAAAAAAAAGAGGAAGAAATTCAATCAAAATTGGAGATTGTGATAGTCTGGATAACCACGGTTCGAGCTACTGAACAATATTACATGAATTCCTTTTTCCCTTTCATCCCATACTGATGTTGTTGATGTCTTGACAAACTTGGTTTCACAAATACAGACTCACGTTGTTACTTCAGTTGGTAGTGAACCTCTTCCAAATCTAATTCAGCTGACTACAAGAAATACACATGTGAGAAAAGTGACTCAAAATACTTCTTTGAATTACCATGATACAGGCTGACCCTCGTACCAGCACCATATCAACAGTGCTCTGCAGAATACTGTAGATCTCTCTTCTTATGAACTTATCAACTCTTTGGTCAAAAAATTGAAACTGTACTTATCTTAACCAGTTCCAAGCATATCCGTATCATTTGTTCTATTCCCCACGAACCATTGTTACGTCATCGAGCAGTGCCATTACTTCACCTCCCCACTTCTCTATTTCGCGAATATTTCTGATCTAGAGAACCAGTCATCCTTCAAAGCCATAGGAGTATTCAATGTAAAACGCACAATTATATTTTTACCCTTAAAAGGCATAAAGTGAAAAAACCTGTACTCAGATTTCAAATTCCTCCAGTTCTTCTCGATACTGGTTTTCGATTTATACTATTGATTGCCCAGTTATGCTTTACCACGTACTTGATCATAGATGTTAACTTTGCTCCAACTACGCCCATTAATAAAGCCAATCTCTTTGTAGCTTTTCTCGAGACAAACTTTGAAACTCCACAATAACACTCCTGAACTTTGACACTGTAGATGACGTTTCAATGCTATCCAATATTTTCCTACTTGAACTTACCCCCCCATTTGTAATCACACCATGGAGATCACTTACTCGGATGATCCAATAACTATGGCTTATGTTCATCTTGCTCTACATCATAAGCATAATACTGCACAAATTCTGGATGGAATTTTATATACACATCTTCGCCATGCTACGAGGACTAATTCTTCTTCAAACTAGATTTGACTTCCAATCTTGAAAGTCCTCAGTAATTGTAGTTTCTTGAAGCCCAATAAGCACTTTTCAAGTATTAGCTCTTGCCATCCGATCTGTCTCACAACAGTATTTGATAAAACAATTAAGCGTATTATTTTCAAGCACCTACATTAACTTGTTGCAGACCGTAACATATTGTCACGTAAACAAGTTGAACTTCGTCCTTTCCTTTCTACACGGAATAAACTTCTCTAACTCACAGACACCATTACCAATCACTTTGATATAAATCGACCTTGTAAGATACTTGTCGATTGTCAAAAGGTTTATTATTCATTATGGTTTGATCGTCACACTACGTTCTATTTTATTACGTACGTATCATAAATTCATTTCTTATGAAATGTAAGGCAGTCGACTCTCTAGAAGACACATTCTGAAGACCCTTTACCCACTATGCAGGTGTTCCACAAGGCTCAGCTCTATCGCTTCTCTTCTATATTCTGATTGTTTCTGATATGGCACAACCTCGATGCCAAGCATAGATTTTTCAGTTGGCTGAAAATACTGCCACAGTGGTTACTTGATTGACCATTGTCACCTTAAGCAAAGTTCTACAAACAGCAATTAATTATTTCTTTGTGTAGTGCAGATTCGGGCAACTTAATCAATCCTTATAAGAACAAAGCTATTATGTTTGGTACAGACATAAAGAAATATCAACCGTGCCAAAATCCTGATCTCTTTACTGTTCAAAAAACCATATTTCTGTATAACTCTCTAACACAGTTAAATATTTGAACATCACCTTCCATAAGCACCTGATATGGAAGACCCTTTGAAACAACCAGCTTCAAGGTCACATAATGACTCAGTATTCTGCTGTGTCTAGCTGGAACCACTTGGGCTTTAAATTCACCCCTCTTCTCTATTATTATAAGGCCTCCTTTCTTCCTTACATTACCTATGGTCATATTTCGTGGATATCTGTCTTTTTTATGAAAGAATTATAGTCCAAGAACGACATCCGTCCATCTGACTTTCGAAATAAAGTTATCCAATCCAATTCAGGATTTATATGACTGCATCACATTTTCCAATATTCTTCACCATCTTCAGTAGCTTCGTATCAAATATATTATGTACTGCTTCCTGACTCACAATGTCACCCTTTCCGACTTGATAAACTCTGCAGTTCATGAAGAGTGTTTCTTCCAGCTAAACATCTCTTCAACATGTATGAGATGTCTCTTCCAGAGTTTGATCCAGAAAATTTTGCTTCCCTTATAAAATACCTGTCCCCCGTGTACTTATCCTACCTGACAATGTTTTTCCTTTTCTTACTTCCCCTCACAACTGACTAAATGAAGTTTTATACACTTGATGAGCATCATTTCACACCATTCGCTTTCTGTTTTGGAAACCTTTTCTGTGCAGAAACATTTACATCTATTCAGCCATTATCCATAGCCACTATAACATACAGTTTTACCTCATGGCTAAAGAGAGGGCGTAACTCTCTGTTAGCCCACCAGCCCTATGGGTTGGAATGGAATGACAGTTAAAAAATCGATCCTACCCAATTCTGGTCGATGGTGCTCCTCCCTTGACAATGCTAATGCTTTTGTCTCCTATCTATAATCCCACTTTCACGCTTCAGTTTGTTTTGTTTTTTGAATTTCGCGCAAAGCTACACTAGGGCTATCCGCGCTAGCCGTCCCTAATTTAGCAGTGTAAGACTAGAGGGAAGGCAGCTAGTCATCACCACCCACCGCCAACTCTTGGGCTACTCTTTTACCAACGAATAGTGGGATTGACCGTCACATTATAACGCCTCCACGGCTGAAAGGGCGAGCATGTTTGGTATGACGGGGATCTCACAGTTGAAAGTGCGAAGTGTGTTCAGTG